ATATATTATATATATATAATTTAATATTTATTAATTGATAATTAGGTAATAAATAACTCTTCAGATTTAGCAAGATACGAACTCGTAGATTGCTAAGTATAGTTACGTAATTAGAGTATTGCGTATCTATAGCTAAATTCAAATAATTGTTATATATTTAAATAGAATTTATCTTATCCGCTTTTCTCTTATCACTTTTCTCACTTGTATATAACTTCCAAGGTATAATTTTATTTATTTATTACTTTTATTATTATTAGTTTTTTTTTTTTTATTATTAAATATAATTTATTATATCAATTTTTATATATATGTTACTATAATTTAATATATTTATTAAATAATAATAGTTCTTCGGCTTTAGCAAGGTACGGACTCGTAGACCGCCAAGTCTAGTTGCGTAATTAGAGTATCACATAGTCTATAGTTAAATTTCAAATTATTATTATTATTTAAATAGAAACTTTTTTTTCTTACTCTCACCTGTGTGCAACTTCAAGGTATAATTTTATTTATTTATTACTTTTATTATTATTAGTTTTTTTTTTTTTTTATTATTAAATATAATTTATTAATATCAATTTTTATATATATGTTACTATAATTTAATATATTTATTAATTTGGTAATAATAGTTCTTCAACTTTAGCAAGGTACAGACTCATAGACTGCCAAGTCTAGTTACGTAATTACTGTATCGCATAGTCTATAGTTAAATTTCAAATTATTATTTTTATTTAAATAGAAATTTTCTCTTACCACTTTTCTCAACTCTTAAAGATATACATTTACACTAATAATTCTTTCATTTTATTATTATTAAATAAAATTACTAATAATTTGATTTTAATACTTATTATTTGACAATTATATGCAAATATTTTAAATAAATAGAAAGTATGGACAACTTAATACGAGCTATATATTTACTATATTCTTACAATGCTGAACAATATATTCGTCAAATTCGATTTCTTAATAAAGAAGTTGAAATAACATATATAAACGATACCAAAACATGTTGTTTTTTTCAAGAAATTGGAGATACTAGTAATTTTCATAAAAATTTAACATCCCAATTAGATCAATTATTAATATTAATGATATTAATAATGCTCCAAATGAAAACAATGATATCTTAAATGTGAAATATGAAGAACTTTACTCTTTTTCTTGTAAGTATGCTGTATTCAATTATTAATTATTGATATATAATCTTTATTGAATAACTTCAACTTTGTTAAGGTAAAGAAATAGTGCAAATGGATGATGCTAATAAAAACAGTAAAGTAATGCAAGTGGATAACGGTGGTGATGTTGAAGATGAAGATCATGAGGAAAACGAAGAAATAATGCAAGAAGTTAAAGATCACGAGGAAAGTGAAGAAATAATGCAAATAGATAATGTTAATAAAAACAGTAAAGTAGCGCAAGTGGATAATGGTAGTGATGTTGAAGGCAAAGGTCATAAGGAAGGTGATGTTGAAAGCGAAGGTCATGATAAAGGTGATGAAAAAGGTGATAATGAAGAAGACGATGAAGGTGGTAAAGAGAGTAATGAAGGAAGTGATGAAGATAAGAATGAAGATGAGGATAATGATGATGAACGAAATATTAAGCGACAACGTAAATCTATAATTTTAATTAGTTTTATTAGCTTAAAAAAAAAAAAAAAAATACTTACTTTAATTTTAATTTTAGGAATTGTGACAAAAACTTCTAAAAGGGTTAATCGACCCTCTATATCTACTTTCCTTCAAGAAGTATCCCCAGATATTATAAATCAATGTATTATTTTAGCATCTATTACACAGGATATTAATTTTGACAAAATTGAAATTAATCCGACAAAAAAAATTGCAACACTTAAGAACAATCGAGGCGAAATTGTATTGGAGCCAATAAACCCTATCGAAATTAGGAAGTCAATTATAAATATTAAATTTCCTAAATTT